TAAGATACAAAATAAATCCACAGAAATCATCTACATTTCAAAAACCAAGAAGAACTGATGGTAAAGTAAATCCCATTAAAATATGTATAAGGACAGGAAATGGACCAGGGAAGCTAGAGTCAGTTCATATGATTTCTTGTGGTCGTGTTTTCAGTCATGTCGGACTCTTCATGACCCTATTTGGGGTTTTCTTGGCAGAGATACTGGAGTGGTTTGCCATTGCCTTCTCCAGCTCATTTTGCAGATGAGGAAACTGAGGCAAACAGGGTGAAGTGACTTGTCTACAGTCACACACAGTAAGCATTTGAGGCCGGATTTGATCTTCCATCTTCCTGACTCCAAGCCCAAGCTCTATCCATTGTGCCACCTAAGTGCTTCATATGTTCGTACGGTTAGAGTACTAATTGCTAAATTTTCAGTGCGAGAATTTACACCTTGGAAATTGGCAGGGCTATAAATCAGGGCTTGCTTTATTCTTTTGTTGATTGTTTACACTTAAGAAAGTGATTGAAAAATGTTAATAATGCAGATTCAATTTGAAAGCGTGTCAAGCACACGTTTTTAAATGGAGAGCCAGTTAAACATTTACCAGCATACCCCTGGAATGGCTCTATGTTTTCGCTAATATATGAAACTCTCAACTAAGCAAACTCCTTTGACCAATGTAATTCAGCACCTTTTCTACAACTTGTAGTCTTGGAGAGTTGTCTAGGGCACTGAAAAGTCCAATGACATTCCCAGGGTCACCCAGCCGGTAGGGATGTATATGGGACAGGGGTCAGGGAGGGGTGGAGGACTTAAACTCAGATTTTCCTGGCCTTAAGGTGGACTCTCGATTCTCTATCCCACACTGCCTTTCTATAGTCCTACCAAGAGAAAATGCATGAAATGCATGAGTTAATCTACTGAGACACTTGTAAGATTTATATCAATACAATTATAAACCATTCTTGATGGAAACAAGGGAAGAGAATAAGACTTAGATTTTTGTACTTGGATAATGTGTGAATTCGTTTTGTTTTTCTTTTCTTTTTTCTTTTCAACTTAGTGGTAGGAGGGAGAGGGGAGGGATACGTTAAAAAGAAAAGAAAAAGAAAAAGAAAAGTGGGTTCTATATTAAAGCATTAAAAGAAATTCACAAGAGAGAACAGAATGAGGGACAGAAAGAATAAAAAAACAAGGACAGTTTTAAAAACTATATATTTATTGTTATTATATATTTATAATATATATTTATTATTATCATGTATTTTGAAGGAATTTCTCCTCTTTTGTTTTATTTCATATATGGAAATTTTCATTTTGTTTTCTGTTAAGGTCAGAATTTTAAAAATGAAATGCAAGAAAAAATAAGTGAAGGAAGACAAACAATTGGAAAGCTTTTTTGCTCATGTGCTAATATAATAAAAATCATGAGACTACCTGAATCAACTTCAAGATATATTGCTATACCAATCAAATTACCAAAGGTACATTTTTAGAATTAGACAAAACAATAACAATTTAGTTGAAAGAAGAAAAAGTCTAAAATCTCAAGGAAAAAAAATTTAAAAGCAGTAATGAAGAAGGCATATCATTACCAGACATCAAACTATATTATAAAACAACAGTCATATTAACTATTTGGTATTGCATTAAAACAACAACTAAGTCAACAACAGAAAAGTTGATTAGGAGAACATACTGAATAACCAAGAAACAAACAATCAAAACCAGCTGCCCAGTATTTGAAAAACCCAAGAACATAAATTATAGAGGGAACAATTTCCTACTTGACACGAACTGCTGGGAAAACTGGACAGCAATTTGCAGGCATTAGATTAGACTAGCATCTTATACCATATATCACAATAACCTAAAAAATGATATGAGACTTGATTACAGATTACATCATTAAAAACAACAACAACCACCTAGAGAGAGAGGAAATTAGGAAGGAGCTACCTTTCTCAACTGTGGCTGAGAGAGAATTCTTAGCTACGCCAATGATGAAGGAAATGAAAGAAAGAAAAGATTATGAAGGAAAGAAAATAGGCAATTTTGATTACATCAAATTTAAAAACTTTTGCACAAACAAAATCAATGAACAGAGTAAAAAGAGAAACTGTCAAGTGGGAAAATATTTTCATCAAATATTAATAAAATCTGATATCTAAGATATGTGAGGAATTAATAGAAATACATGACATCATAAGAGCCATTTCCAATGGATGAATGGACAATGGTTATAAGTAAGGGTGAGTGACAGACAGCTCATACAGACTTGGAAGAGACGATTGTTAAATTTTCACTGTGAGCATTACACCTTGGAAATCCACAAACTCAATAAATCAGCATGTGATTTTTTTGTTGTTGTTGATTGTCTAGATGTAAGAAAGTGCTGGAGAAAATGTTAATAATGAAGGTTTTTTTTTTTCTCAGAGAACTGGTTATTAAACCAGTTGTTAAACAGCACATAGCTGGATATAAGCAAAAGTTTTTAAAAGTGTAATTACAAACTATAAATATCTATTTGGAAAATCTGCTCCAAATCATTAAAAGTAAAAGAAATGCAAATTAAAACTCTCCGATTTCCTACTATACCCTGAAAATAGACAAAAATGACTCCCCCCCAAATTCAGGAAGAATAAATATTGTATGTGCTGTGGGGAGACAGGTACATCAATGAACTAGTAGTCGATCTGTGAATTGTTCCAACTATTTTGGATATCAACTTGGAAAATTATTTAAGCAAAGTGATTAGTCAGTGTTTCAGCCTCTTGATCTAGTAGTCTTACTCTGTGTGTATATATCATGAAGTCAAAGACAGATGTACTAAGATATTCATAGCCTTGCTCTTTGCATTAGCAAAAAAATGGAAGTGAAATGTGTCCCCATCAAATGGAGAATGAAAAAGACTCTGGTATATGAATACAATAGAATATTATTGCACAGTAAGATTTGAAGATAAGGAAAGATTCAGAGAAACGTAAGATCTGTTGGACCTGAGGCAGAGTGCACTGAGCAGAGCCCTAACAATTGTATGCAGTGACTACAACAATATAAATGTAATGACTCCATTAGGAAACCAAAGACCAAGGAAATGAAAACCCAGTGATAGTCCTGGAGATCAGATGATGACACACACCTCACTACCGAGAGGCAAAACGACAGGGGCACACTGTGTCCTGGGTGTATTGCTTTTTTCTTCTTTTTCTCTCTTTCTCTCTCTCTCTCTTCCTTCCTTTCTCTTTCTTTTTCTCCCTTCCTTTCTTTTTCTTTTTCTTTCTTTCCTTCCTTTCTTTCTTTTTCTTTTTTTCTTTCTCTCTTTCCTTCCTTCCTTCTTCCTTTCTTCTTTTCTTTTTCTTTCCTTCTAGGAAGTAAGAGTAGGGGGAATGGAAGCTACCACGTTCAGAAATCACTGAGGTTAAAACAAAAAGAGTCAATAACAATTAACAATTTGTTATTGTTCAGTCATGTCAGACTCTTTGTGACCCCATTTGGGGTTTTCTTGGCAAAGATACTGGACTGGTTTGCCATTTCCTTCTCTAGCTCATTTTTATACATGAGGAAACTAAGGCAAACAGGGTGAAGTGACTTGCCCAGGGTCACACAGCTAGTAAATGTCTGGGGCCAGTATTTCTATAGGGCTTAGACTTTGCAAAACACTTATTAATGTGTTATCCCATTTGATCCTCACAATTACTCTGTGAGGTAGATGCTATTATTATCCCTGGTTTTCAGATGAGAAAACTGAGGGTGAGAGAAATTAAGTAGCTTGCCCAGAATCACCCAGCTGGGAATATCTGAGACAAAATTTAAACTTAAGTTGTCCTGACTCTGGGTGCAGTACTCCATCCAATGTGCCAACTTCACTGCCTTAATAAACATTTTATGAAAAAAAGAAAAAGAAAAAAGAACACCAATCTCTTCTAGTAAAAAATATATGATCTCAGACAAGTCAATGAACCTCTCCAGGTCTTGGTTTTCTTATCTGCATTAACATCATCTCCCTCAGGTCCCTTCCAACTGTTTAAAAAAAAAAAGCATCTTAGTGTATGTGTGTAGAAAGCCTTTCCTGCCAGTGTATTTTTCCTTACGATTTCAAGCTATGCTGCATCGCACCCATACAAGCTCTGAACCCTACCCTCTGGAAGATGAATAAGGCATATCTGGATGAAGGGAAATGGTTAGAACGGCCCCTAAGTTCAAGTATTCGTCTCAGGGAAGTAGTGATCTGCAGCCCTCAGAACCAACGTCTCAAGTCCACTATATCCTGAGCCAGTCCACAATCTAATCCCCGTCACTTTTTTACAGATAAAATTAGTTACAGGGGACTCAGCTGCCCTATGCTGGCACTAGACCCTGGTGTTCTCTCCCCTGTATTCGCCTTTGCCTCTCTATGTAGTTGGGTATTTTGGGCGGGTCCTCTCTTCATTGGCTGACATGCTGCCTTTGTCGCTCTCCTGCCAGAATTCTTTGCTACTTCTCCATTTGGTCTATCCTTGTCCCCTTCTTCTTTCTGAGTTTGGCTGGATTTTTCCTTTGATCTTCTGCCTCTGCTCCCAAGCATGGTCTTCATTCTTTGCCCTCTTGGCAGATTCCCTAGCTCCTTGTTCCTTTTTCCCTTTGAGCTTCCCTCTTGGCCTCAACCCCGTCTATGAGGTAGCTAGGTGGTGCAGTAGATAGAGCACAGGGCTTGGAGTCATGAAGACCTGAGTCCAAATCTGGCATCAGATATTTACTAGCTGTGTGACCCTGGGAAACCGCTTAACCTGTTTGCCTCCGTTTCCTCAACTGCAAAATAGAGATAATAATAGCACCTCCCTCTCAGGACTGTGGTGAGGATTAAGTTCGAGAATATTTGAAAAGCACTTAGCACAGTGCCTGACACACAGTAGGTGCTGTATTAATGCTTATTCTCTTCCTATCTGCTCTTCATGCCCACTTCGATTTCCCACATCTGTCCTTCATTCTTCTACTACCCTGTGCTTTGCATAGTAATTGTTTTGATCCCAAAGGATCCCTTGCCATGGTCCAGCTGCCCATTGAACAGTAATCTCACGAGTCATGATGAAGAATGTGAGCGAGCCTCATCAACTGAGTACTTCTGGTACCGGAAAACCCTCAATATCTCACCCTCCATTCAAGAGAATGGGGTCATCCAGTGGGAACAGGCCTTGTGTCTCATCTTAGCATGGCTGGTGGTGTATCTGTGCATTCTGAAAGGCACGGAATCAACTGGCAAGGTAAGGTCCGGGCTGGCTACAACATGACATTGGAATGAAGGTTCAGAAGGGTCCGTTTGAGCTTAAGAGCAGGGATTACAATCCAGCAATGAAAAATGGGTTCAAATCCCTTCTCTGACATCCATGTGACCATAGGCAAGTCAACCAACCTCTTTAAGCCTCAGCTTCTTCATCTGTAGGATGAGTCATTTGAACTAGATGCCCTCTGAGGGCCCTTCCAACTCTAGATTGGCCATACTCATCTCTCTAACCAGCCTCAGAAAAGTCCAAGGGGTGAGCTGGCACCAGGCAGTCAGAGGTGACAGATCACAAGGGTGTAGACTTTGTTGACCTGAGCCCCTCACCCAGGTCCCTTGACTGGTTCAGGAAGGCAGACAAGAAGTGTCTGATGAGAAGGAGGTTCAGTTAAAAACTCCATGTCCTAAATTCCTCCCTCTCATCACGCAACATGCAATGAAAGAACCTAAGATTTTTCATATTTGGGGGCAGACTGGTAATCTAGCCAATCTGTTATTTTGTGTCTATAATGGCAGAAAGGGAATTTTATGAGATGGCATGATTACTGTCTGTGAAGTGACCCCGGGAATATCAATCACTTCCTTTAACAATATGTTTTGAGGGGAGAAAAATTTAAAACTCAAAAGCTCATGGAAGTGATTGTTGATAATTCAAAACAAATGAATTAAAAATAATTAAATAAATAAATAGAACATCTGTTTTGGAACCTTATGTAAGTTAGCTGTGGCATAGTAAATAGAGGCTTTGGAACCAGAAAGGATGCAAAATAAGAAGCCCTGAGTTCATATTCTGCCTCTTGATATTTACTAGGCGTGTGTGACTGTGGGCAAGTCATTTAACCTGGTTAAGCCTCAGTTTCTTCATCTGTAAAATGGAGATAATAATACCTGTATTACTTACCTCAGAGGGAAGTATGGCATTCCATATGGACCTGTGTAGGGTCATCTATAAACCTGAGTTTTTTATAGCTCTATCCTGTTTCATATCATTGTTAATTAAATAAGAATCATCTCAATATTAGCCTAGACAAGGTGCTGCTATAGACTCGTCTCTACAGAAGTGCCTAAAATTTATCCCTAGCAGCTGTTTCTTAGATCTAAACCAGCTTTCCTGGCAAAACATTTCCTCCAATCCTGTAGCGACTCCTTTATCTCAAAGAATTCTATTAGACTAGTCAGGCTAGATTTCCACTACAGAATCACTAGTAAGAGCGGCGGCAGCAGCGGCAGCAGGAGTAGTAATAGTTCAGAGTCATGGTCAAACTCATGCTACCACATGCCTTATTTTTCACATTATTATGGGTATACCCTACTTTGAGAAAACCTTAGATAAGAAAACTCAAGGGTCCGTATAAATTCTTGGCCATTGTTAACATGCCCAAAGGATTCTCCACTTTACAGATTATTTGTTATACTTTTACAGTGTTACTATTATTGATATTACAAAAGAATCATTTATTTATTATTGCATTTGCTAGAATGTTACAGCTGTTAACATTACAAAAAGATTCTTGTAAATAATAGAGCTTCCCTTATTCCAGCGTTTCTCATAGGGTCATAAATTAAGAGTCCTACAAATGGGGAAAATGAGGCACAGAGTAGTTAAGTAACTTGCCCAGCATCACTCAGCTAGTGTCTGAGGTAGAATTTGAACTCAGGTCTTCCTAACTCCAAGTTCAGTGTCCTATCCACTATACTATGCATGTTAGAGCCGCTACTAAATAAAAATCTCCAAAAGCAGAACATAAAATAGGCCTTCAATGAAAATTTAAGTCCACGGGGAAATAGACCTCTACTGACCAAAATTCCCTCGATAGGCAACTCCTAGGTGGTCACGTAGGGCTTCACTGGCGGCATAGCTAGGCATTGTTTCCCCTTTCTTCTCTAATGGCTAAAGGGTTGGGGGCTGGCAATAGAGAGGTGGGCAAGACTCCTGTCTCTAAGAGGCTAAACTGGATCTTCTGGCTCCCTTAGGTGGTCTACATAACTGCATTGCTGCCTTACTGTGTTCTCATCATCTATTTGATTCGGGGTCTCACCCTGCATGGAGCTGCCAATGGCCTAGCGTACATGTTCACCCCCAAGGTAAGGATACTTAGCCTCCCAGTTGCCCACCCTCGCCACACATGCATACATACTCCTCTCTATGTACTGTCTTCCCAATGATCATCTTTAGACAAGGCATTTTCAGATCTATACAGCCCAGCCCTAATCTTTCTCCTGAGCCTCACTGATGTTTGGATATCTTGAAATGCAGGTCCCATAGGCATTTGACTCACTGTATCCAAAACAGAATTCATTACCTTTACTCTCAGACTCCACCCCTTTCCAAACTTCCCTATTTCAGTCAAGGACACCTTCATCCTTCTAGTCCCTTATGCTTACAACCTTGGTATTATCCTCAACCTCTCTCTCATAATCACTCCACACCCCAACTATTGGCAAGTCTTCTTATTTCTACCTTCAGGACATCTCTTATAAACATTCCTTTCTTTTTAAAAATTAATTTATCTTGATTTATCAACAATCATTCCATAAACTTTCGAGTTTTAAATTTTTCTCCCCTTCCCTCCCCTTCCCTCCCCGAGATGGCACACAATCTGATATAGGATCTACATATACATTCCTATTAAACATACTTTCACATAGTGATGTTGTGAGGAAGAATTAGAACCAATAGGAAGAAACACCAGAGAGAGGAAACAAAATACAACAGAAGGAAAAAATAGCAAATAGTATGCTTCAGTCTGCATTCAAACTCCATAGTTCTTTCTTTGGATGTGGAGAGCATTTTTCATCATGAGACCTTTGGAGATGTCTGAGATCCTTGCATTGCTGAGAAGGGTTAAGTCTATCAATGCTAGTCATCGCACAACGTGGCTGTTATTGTATACAACGTTCTCCTGGTTCTGCTCACTTCACTTAGCATCAGACCATACAAGTCTTTCCAGGTTTTTCTGAAGTCGGCCTGTTCATCGTTTCTTATAACACAACAGTATTCCATTACATTCATATACCACAACTTGTTCAGCCATTCCCCAACTGATGGGCATCCTCTCAATTTCCAATTCTTTGCCACCACGAAAAGAGCTGCTATAAATATTTTTGTACATATGGGTCCTTTTCCCATTTGTATGATCTCTTTGGGCTGCAGCCCTAGAAGTGCTATTGCTGGGTCAAAGGGTATGCACATTTTGATAGCCCTTTGGGCATAGTTCCAAATTGCTCTCCAAAATAGTTAGATCATTTCACAACTCCACCAACAATGCATTAGTGTTCCAATTTTCCCACATCTTCTCCAACATCTATCATTTTCCAGATAAACATTTTTTTCTTACCACTTTGGCACAGGCCCTCACTACCTCAAGCCCAGACTCCTTCAATCGCCTTCCAATCAATCTCCTTTGTCAAGCCTCTCCTCCCTCCAATCCATTCTCCACTCACCTACTAAAGTGGTTTCCTTAAAGTGCAGGTCTGATCCCATTGCCTTCCTCCTCAATGTACTAGAGTGGCTCTCTATTATTTCTAAGATGAAACATCAAATGTTCTGTTTGGCACTGAGAGTCCTTCACAACCTTGCCCCTTCCTATCTTTCCAGTCTTCTTATTACCTTAAATAGTATTTGGGGTGCTGAGGAGCCAGCCAGCCAATGGATAAAGGTCAAAGGGGCAGCTGGCTTCCATTTTTAGGACCCTAGGGAGAGAGAAGGCCTCTCTACTTTCTTCAGCCTCCTCTGTCAGGGGCATTCAACAAATGGAGGAGGTGGATAAATAAATGATCACAGGATTCTAGGGCTTAAAGCCTGGAATGGATCTTAAAGGTATTTTAGTCCAACTGTCTTGGTTTCAGATGAGGAAATAGGATCAGGAAAATGAAGTGACCCTCCTCAGGATTTGAAGAGGAAGAGAGGAGTGTGATGGAAAGAGTCTGCATCTTAGAATCAAAAGCCCTGGATATGTGCTCTAGGTCTGCCATTTTTCTAGCTATTTCATCTTGGGCCAGTCTCCTAATGTCTCTGGACCTTCGTCACTTGGTTTTCTCAGTGATAAAAGAGAAAGAATAATATTGTCACTCTCTGACTCAGTTTTCTCATCTGCAAAATGACAGAATTGAACTTAATGGCTTCTATGGTCTCTTCAAATACTAAATCTATTAGGTTATGATCTTATAAATGCTCTATAAAGATTAAAATGCTATAGGATGAGTTATTATTATTATTGCCATTATTATTCTGTGGAGTGGAAAGAAGATTCCCTCTCCTCTATCCCATAAACCTGTTGTTCAACCCCTCTTTTCTCTCCCTCACCTGCTAATTAAGCTCTGTGGTGAAGCAGACCAGGTACCAGCTTTACAGGAGGAGCTGGCCGTGCATGAGACCAGCCCGGTCTAATCAGTGACCAAACCTCACCCATTCTACCTCCACTTTGTCTCTCACATCCATCCTCTTCCCTCCTTTCACATTGCTACTGCCCTAATTCAAATCCTGATCCTACTTCACCTGGACTATTTGAAGAGCTTCATAATTGGTCTCTACTTCCAGTCTCTTCTTTGCCAATCCATCCTCCACAGTACTACCAAAATAAACTTCCTAGGCATTGATCTGACCATACCACTCCCCTGCTCAAAAATCTTCCATGGCTCCTAGTTTCCTCTAGGATACAATATAAATTTCTCAGTCTGGAATTAAAAGGTCTCCAAAACCTGGCCCCTACCTACCTTTCCAAATTTATAGCGCACTGTCTAAGTAACATCCATAATGGGGTATAGATGTTCCTGAGGGTAAGGACTGGGTTTTTTGCCTTTCTTTGTATCCTCAGCAGTATGGTGCTTGGCAAGTAGTAAACATTTAACAACTGCTTGTTGACTTACTCCTGTGTCACAGACCCTGGTGCCGATATGTCCTCATGCTCTGATCAGCTTCTCCTCCACCTTTGACTTTTCAGGTAGAGCAGTTAGCGAACCCCCAAACCTGGATCAACGCGGCCACACAGATCTTCTTCTCCCTCGGCCTTGGGTTCGGCAGCCTGATTGCTTTTGCCAGCTACAATGAGCAGTCCAACAATTGCCAGAAGCATGCCATCATTGTGTCCCTGATTAACAGTTTCACGTCCATCTTTGCCAGTATCGTCACGTTCGCCATCTATGGCTTCAAGGCCACTTTCAACTATGAGAGCTGCGTCAATAAGTAAGAATGATGGGTAGGTCATAGGGTCATAAATTAAGAGGAAGAAGAGACTCTTAGACACTGTCCAATCTAATTCCTTTATTTTACAGATTAGTAAACTGAGGCCCAGAGAGGCTAAGAGATTTAGGATCATAGGATCATAAATTTAAAGATGGAAAGGATCTTGGAGGCCATTGGATTTACCTTACCATTTTAAAGATGAGGAAATTAAGGTACAGAGAGGTTAAGTGATTTGCCTAGAATTAGTAAGCATCTGAATTTAAATTGCCCAAGGTCACATGGTTACTAAGTAATAGATTCTGGATTTCAACCCAGGTTCCCTGACTCTCAATCCAGTACTCTTTCCACTACATTATTCTGTCTCAGATTTCTAACTATTGTCCTCATGTACCACCTAGAGGCTGTTGCCAGCCCCCATGACAATAGTAAACTCAGTTCTAGCCTTCACTTTCCCTCTCCTTTGCCTTTCCACTGAACTCCCTGGACCCCTCTTCATTGTTAATCAATTTTAGCATCATGAGATTTGGAACTAGAAGAAACTTTAAGAGGTCATTGGGTCTAGCTCCTTCATTTTAGAAGTGAGAAAACTAGAGAGGTTAAGTGATTTGCTCAGCATCATATACATGTGACTCAGCTGGGATTTGAACTCCAGTCTTCCTGTCACTAAATCCAGTGCCCTATCTACCAAGCTAGGCTTCTTCCCAATCAACATGTCAGGGACTATGCTAGCTGAAGATACAAATACAGAAATGAAACAGTACCTGCCCTCGGGGTGCTTTACTTCTATCCACAAAGTCCCCTTTATCTCTAAGCCCTCCTTATTCCCCTCACATTCTTTCTATCTTTTAGGATTCAATGAATCCTAGCCTTCTCCTGAAGAAGTCATGTCTCCTGAAATGCTCTTCAGAAATGGCTATTCCTTCTCTCCCTATCTTTGGCACACAAGACCAGTTGGCATGCTTCATGTGTCCCATGACCAATTTCAGGCTTTCCTTTTCAACAACCACCTCTTCTAAAGTTTACTCCAGCTGTCTAGATCCTTGTTGCTGACATCTTGAACCCTCTAGGCCACTTCCTCCCCTCTGCAGTCACTTCACTACTTAATTTACTGTCTCCTATTCCGACCTTTATCCCCTAGCAAAACCCAATCTCCCAGTCCCTCGACCTTCTCTACTTCCTAACCCTGTCTTCAATGTATCTCAGTCATGCCACACACCCCCTTCCATTCTAAAAGAATTATCCCCAGGGGCTGGGATTCTTAATTACATCCTACTTCTTACACTTGCTACCTGTGTGGCCTCAGACAAGTCATTTCATTCCCTGGGCACCAGAGTCCTCATGTACAAAATAAGGGGATTGGATTAGGTGGCTTCTGAGGTCCTTCCAGGCCAAAATCTATGCTTCTATAATTCTATGTCACAGCTCTGATGATATGTCATTATATGAGGGAGGGTAGGGAATGTGTCTCCTGAGTCACATAATACAAATGTCCCTACATTTTGAAGGTACTTCTTATCTAAATAGGCCAATAATGAAATTGCAAGGGGAAGATATAAAAATCATACATCCCCTTCCCCACTACAGCGATCGAGAGGACTGGTGACATGGCAGCAAAACGTCCTTTTCATCTTCCCAGGCACTGCATCCAAACTTTTCCACCACAGTGGGCTTTAGAAAGTCTTTTTAAGTGGCAACTAACGCAGTGAACTTGACTTCCAGGGTGATCTTGCTGCTGACCAATACCTTTGACCTTGAAGACGGCTTTCTGACCTCAGGAAACCTGGAGGAGATGAAAGCTCACCTAGCATCTACCTACCCAAAGGAATACAGTGAAGTGTTCCTACAGATTAAAAACTGTAGTTTGGAATCAGAACTAGATACCGTAAGTGTTGCGGATACAGTTTCTATGTTGTCTTTTCCACGATGCCTGTTGCCATAAGCCAAACCAGAAACCTCATCGACCCTTGTGAGAAAGGGTGAGCTCTATCCATCGTGAGCTCAAGAGATTGATTTGTGAATCAAGAAAGAGTAGAAATTTCCCACTAGTATCATTCTTTTTTTAAAAAATCTTTTATTTTTATATCAGTTTAATATCTATACATGTCCCTCACCCATCTCTTCCCTATCCAGAGAGGAATATCCTCTGTAACAAAGAATAAAAAATAATAAGTAGGGAGAGCAATACTAACCAACACATCAAACAAGTCTCAAGTATATACAATGTTCCATCCCTATAGGCTTCCACCTCTGCAAAGGAGAGAGGAAGGCTCATTTTCTCATCTTTTTTTTGAGAACCAACCTTGGCCAATACAATAACTCAGCATTGAGATTTTTTCCATTGGTGGTATCCTTTCCGTTTACATGGTTGTAGTCATTGAGAATATTGTTTCCTTGGTTCTGCTTCCTTGACTTTGTGTCGATTCATACAAATCTTCCTATGTTTCTTACAGTGCAGTGATGGTCCATTACATTCAGGTACCATAGGCTAATATTATTCTCAGGGGAGAATAGAACGCATGCTAACGTTAGACCCCAACAGTCAAACCTAAACACCTAGGATCATGCAATGCTTCTACCTAAGAGTTCTCAAGATGATAGGTAAATTTGAGCTTCTAACATCTCAAATTCTTCTAACATCTCAAAATTCTGCAAAGCATTATTAATTCTTATTTTTCATATGATAGGCTCACTTAGGCACAGTGCCACTGAATGATGTGTTTGGAGATAAAAGGAAAAGTAGACATGTAGATAAAAGACTCATAAAGGAATATCCTAGGAACTCAGAGAAGCCCAGGCCCCTGCAGGTGGGCTCCACTCCAGCCCGTTGGAACTGTAAGTAAGGTTGGCACTCTTGATATAACATGACATCTTCTTATTATTGGCAGGCTGTCCAGGGGACTGGACTGTCATTTATTGTCTACACTGAAGCCATTAAAAACATGGAGGTGCCCCAGCTGTGGTCAGTGCTATACTTCGTTATGCTTCTGATGTTGGGGATAGGAAGCATGTTGGGGAACACCACTGCCATCCTCACTCCTCTGACAGACAGCAAGTTTATTTCAAGCCGCTTGCCCAAGGAGGCAATCTCAGGTTAGCCTTTCATTGGGCCCAACGTACTAAGGGTAGTGATCTTAGACTATAAAGGATTGTCCAGATGGGAAGCCCTCTAAAGTAACTGATGAAAAATCATTTCTTAAACAGTCACTGTGTGCCAAGCACTGTGCCAAGTGCTTGGAATGCAAATAGAAGCAGAAAGAAAGGGAGTCTCCACCCTCAAGAAGCTTACATTCTAGAGGAGGGAAGACAACATAAAGGGAAACTAGGGTGGGGAAGAGATGAGGGTACTCAGCATGAAGGGATGGTAGAGAAGAAAGCTCTAGAATTGGCAGTGCAGCTTGGAGAGGGCTGAAGAGTGGCTGGTCTCAGCGTACTCCTTACAATGAAGGTTCTGGAAGGAGCAAGCCAATCAGAGATAGAGGCCACAGGGCAGACAGTACTTCCAATATGATCACTAGTCCAGGGGTGGAGTGAACTTCTGGGAGAAGAGGCCACTGGTCTGTGGAGACTGGTTTGTTTTATTATATATATATATATATATATATATATATATATATATATATATATATGTATATATATATATATATACATATATATATATATATATATATATATACATATACAGACACACACACACATACACGTATGTATAGTAGAGAAAGTCCTGTGGAGTCAGGAGTGTCGTCTGACAAAACACTTCTCTCTAGCCCCCAGTTTCCTCATCTCTAGGATAAGAGGGTAGAGAAAATTGTCCCTGAAGTCCCTTCCAGTGCCAGATCTATGATATCCAGAATTGTCAGAAAAGAGGAACCAGGACCTCATTTATGTTGGGGCTGAATCCTTGCAGCTGAATGCTATCAATTCACACAAGTAATCAAAAGACCCTTGCCAAAGAGGCCAATATTTATTCAGGAGGGGAAGAACCCTGGTGGGACTATCCCTACCAGTAACTCTTAGGTGAACTGATTAGCTTCAACCTCTCTGCTCTACAAATATATTGGTGTAATACACCAAGATAGATAGATAGATAGATAAATAGATAGAGAGATAGAGAGATAGCTAGATGGATGGATGGATGGATAGACAGACAGACAGACAGACAGATAGATAAATAGATAGATAGAGATAGGTAGTGGGTATGAAGCAACAGATGTTGCCTAGATGTTTGTCATGCCAGCCAGCCCTTGCGTGGACCATAGTTGATCCATTCAATGGGCCTGCCTCTCTTAGGCTCCTGAGAGATGCCCAGCAAAGTGAGACTTTCCAGAGGCTGAGAAGCTGCTCTTGTCCCTCCAGGTCTTATATGCGTCATTAACTGTGTCATTGGGCTGGTGTTCACCTTGGAATCAGGAAACTACTGGTTTGAAATATTCAACAACTACTCTGCCACCTTCTCCCTCCTGCTCATTGTGCTGGTGGAAACAATTGCTGTTTGTTATATTTATGGCCTAAGAAGGTAACATTCTAAATCCCTTTTCTAGACTAATCAGCTAAATCTGGGTGGAAAGGAGGCATAAAGAACAGTAACTGATTCACCTCCTTGTTGGGTTTTCTTCCTGTTTTTCTTCTAAACAGCCTTTGGGGCTGGGAATAGAGAGAAGCCCACGGTCACCCAGTTCAGAGGGTCAAGAGTTGGGCTCTGACCTCGTCTCCTAACTCCAGGTCCAAAGTTGCTTCTCTATACCTTACTGCCTCTAAAGCATTAGAATTTGGGATTTCTTGACATCTCTGGGAAGAGAATGAGCGATTTCCTAATGGAAACTAACACTGCTTTTGAAAAACTTTGTGCACAAATAATTTTCTGTTAATTCACCCCACTCCCCAGGTTTAATTATGCTTGACATCCCCTCTGCCCTTCACTTACTTCACATTTGAAACCATTGTCACATATTCCATAAAATGTGGCTAATGAGAGCACCTACCTCCCGGGGTGTTATGAGAAGGAAATGAGATTATATTTGTGAAGCATTTAGCAAACCATAAAGTGCTATATGAATTCTAGTTATTATTATTGTTACTGCACTTGTTCTACCAATTGATAAGAAGTTATTAAGCACCTACTATGTGCCAGGCACTAGGGCTACAAAGACAAAAGGGGGAATAGTCCTTGCCCTCAAGGAATTTCTATTCTTTCAGGGAAGACCACATGTATACTTACATGGAAGAGAGAGAGAGAGAATGAGAAAGAGAGAGGGGGAGAGACAGGGGGGGAGATGGAGAGAGAGGAAGGAAGGAAGGAAGGAAGGAAGGAAGGAAGGGAGAGAGAAAGGAAGGAAAGAAAAAGAGAAGATAGGAAGGAAAGAAACCAAATCTATGATTTTGTTGACATAGTAGAGAGATTCTCTACTCTTCCAGGTGGGAGGGGTACCTGCTCTGCAATTTATCATCTTGGAGGGCTGCCTGGGACACTAACAAGTTAAGTGACTTGTCCAGGGTCACACTGTCAATATGTGTCAGAGGCAGGATTTCAACCCTGGACCCAGGTCTTCTTGACTCATATATGAGCCCTCTATCCACTATGCAACACTGACTTCTCGTATTCTCTCTCTCTTTCTCTCTTATGTATCTATACACATGTAGATATGCAAATATTTGTATAAGAAATATATTTATATAATATACAAATATAAACATATACAGAGAGAGAAAAAAGAGAGAGGGAGATTTTGGAGGGGAGAAGGCATCTAGAAGTCTTTCATGCCACAAAGTAGCTCAAGTCTATGTGGAGTATAAAGGATTATATTCAGTTTGTGTCCATGGCTGGGCTGGGTTCCAGTCAGGGGCACAAGTCTCAAGTTCAGGGTAACAAATGTCACTAGAGACCCCCTTTATACAAGTTCTCATGCCTTTGTGACCACAGCCTCTCCCTAGCAGGGAGGTTCTTTTTACTTCAACACAAAAACTTTCTATGGCCACTCCAGAAAGGAACCGTGTTCCTTTCAATCACATTCGTGATGGGCAGCTAGGTGGCACAACGGATAGACTCATCTATCTGAGTTTAAATCCAGCCTCAGATACTTACTAGCTGTGTGACCTTGGATAGATCATTTAACCTCTGTTTGCCTCAATTTCCTCATCTGCAAAATGGGGATAATAATAGCAACTACCTCCCAGAGTTGTTGTGAGGATCAGATGAGATAATAATTGTTAAGGACTTAGCACTGTGCCTGGCACATAACAGGTGCTATAGAAATATTAGTTACCGTTATTAATTGAAGTAAAGATATCATTTTTCCCATCCAGGACCCTTTGAAGTCTGCTCACACCCTCAGGTTAAGAACCACTGGTTGAAGGATCTCTGAGGTCCCTGCCAGTTCAAAATCCTGTGACTGAATTTAATAGATGATGGTAACTTCAAGGACTCTCCATCAATGGTTTTAATTACCTATTTGTTCCTCTCCCTGCCCCCTCCAAACTCCCTATCATTCTCAAATAATACACTAGGTCCCTTCTGAGCCTGCCCCCTGGGGAATCTGCTTATGAGCAGTGACACGGCTGGGGTACATGCCCACCAGGGAGAAGAAAGAGCAAAGGTCTGAGCCATCTGCCAATTGGCTAATGAGGCTTAGGGTCACTAAGAAGGGCCACTGTTCTCTCTCCCTGTTTCCAAGCCATGGCTTTCCACCTGAGCTCCTCCAGAGACCCCCATTCAGAGTTCATCTTTGTCAGAGGCACATTCCTCTTGAATGTCCCTCAGCAGATGATTCTCTTCATTGGTTATCTGGGTTGTTAATGCCAAGCCACATCTTGGGTACAGCAACTCCCCCGCCTCATCCCATCCTGCCCATGCCACGCTAGGAAGGAACACCGGAGCTGAACCTCTAAGAGTGGATAAGTGAGCAAACTTGGGCATGGATCCTTATATATGTGTGTGAGACACAAATATAAATTAAGCACTTGGTGGTGTCTTCCAATCCAAATTTTGGATTGTCCATTGGGCTATGTGAGCTTCTTCCCCCTTCCCTTAGCTGGGATGGTTTGGACCTTATCCCTTCCCTACCCCTTATTCTCATTCTGTGTTTTTTAATAGATTTGAAAACGACCTTCAAGTCATGACTGGATGCAAGTTAAACTGGTATTGGAAAATCATGTGGGCTTTTGTAAGTCCCTTGCTTATTATCAGCCTATTTATTTTTTACCTGATGGACTACATCCTCACAGGAAACCTGAAGTACCAAGCCTGGGATGCAACACAGGTAATTGTCCCCTTCCTAAGTGGGTCCAGGTCATGAATTCGCCCCCCAGCCCCACTGACTCCTGGAGAAGTCAAGGGACCCGCGGGACACGTGGGCAGGCAATAATGGGAGCCTTGTCCCTGATTCATCAGTCTTCTCATTGCAGTGCAATGCCTGCTGGGCATTACAGTGTTATGTCCTTTGGTATGACTACGGTCTCTTGTCATTGCAGTTTTATGGTAGCAACATAACACAGTGGCAAGAAGACTGGATCTGGAGTAAGGGACCCAGGTTCAAACCTGGACTTTGCCCGTTAATACCCACATAATCTGAGAGAAGTCAACTTCACCCCTCCGGGTCTGTTTTCTCATCTGGAAAATGAATGGCTGGGCTAACCAACCTCCAAGAGTTCCTTCCCGTTTTAAATCTGTGACCTTTCACCCAGGAGCAGGGGATGGCTTGCTTTTAGATGGGCTTCATTCCTCTTAGTTACTAGGACGTTTGAGTCCCTCATTTTTTTTTCACAGAACTGATAAAAACAGCCTTTTCTCTTGGGGTTTGAATTAGCACCAGCAAAACATAGACAGTTCTTACTTTATGTAAGTGACAATTCCATCGACCTCTATGCTGGTAATAGGAATTTGCCTCCCGATATAGAGGAGGGAGAGAGAGAAAAAGGAAGGGGGCCAGGCACCCATGGAGCACTGAGCCGAGGGGCAGGAGTGGAGAGAGAAAGAGAGAACAGTGCTGTACTGTCAAGGTGACATAGGGGGTTTTTTGGAATGCAGATTTCTTTTAGAATTTTTTATATAAAGTTGAATTTGTATAATACGAATTTATGTAAAGGGAGAACTGTCTGTATAGCTTTTCTGTCTTCAGAGTGAAAGCCTTGGGCCTTAAAGTTTGTCTAAATGCCTTTCCAAAAATTTTTTTATACTTTTTAAAATTTTTCTAGAACTTAAATACATAATAAGAAAAGAAAAAGAAACATTGTAAACTTAAATACAAAATAAGAAAAGAAAAAATGTCATGTGCACAGTAGAGAGGATTCAAAATATATAGCAATAAATTTCCATTTCAAGAAAGCCTATGTAATAAATACTACGCATAGTGTCAAGAGCTGTCCATCTTTTCTTTGCTTCCTTGTAAGTTTTCTTTTGTTCTCTGCTGTGCACTTTTTACTTTGTCCTTTTCCCCCCTTCCTCCCACCCCCAGAAGGCTACAATTAATCACGGACCAACACACACACACACACACACACAGATCCTAAAATGTTTTATGTGATTACACATGTATAAGCTATATCTGACTGTTTACCATCTCAGGGAGGAGAGAAGGGAAGGAGGGATAGAATTTGGAACTCAAAACTTAAAAAAGATCACAAATGTTTAAAAAATTATTTTAACATGTAATTGGCTGGGGCTGGGGTGGGGGGGTGGGGGGTGTATAAAATATCTTTAAAAATTTTTTTAATAAATAAATATCTTTCCAAGCCTGAATGTCTCTTTGAGAGGAAGGTGAGCTTCTTAGCATAGTACTGCCATCTACTGACTAGTTTGGATTTCAGCAAGAATTTTTCAAGCTAACTCTACATCAGTGGTCCAATGAGGATGGGTGTGTCTGCCCAACCTTGGAAAGGATTCACAAATTGGATACCGCCCATAACTAAATTGTGGGACAAGGTACACCAGGCAAACATCATGATACCAAGGAAAGGCATTATGGTTATAGCGGAAGGGGTACTGGAGTCCAAGGACCTAGCGTCAATCCTCACTTTACCTACTGACTTCTGACTGACATTGAGCAAATCACTTTGTCTTGTTGAACTTCTATTTCCTAATATGGAAACAAGCAGGGGCAGATTAGAGAGCTTCTAAGGTCCCTTCCAGTTCTGGATGAATGATCCTATGAGGTGGCCTTTCCCTCCAGGGCAACAGTTTAAGGCAACGAAACTTCTGGTTTGCTCTGTTAGGAAAATATGAAGACCAGCTCCATCCAAGGATCCCTTGTCTCTGCTCCCTTACACTTTTGATCAATATTTGATCATGTGTGCTCTTGGGAAAGTGCTCACCTTTCTAAATCGTATCCATTTCTCCTCCAAGGAGATAACATTTGCAAAGAAGCAGCTCTGTGGTAGAGCACTGGTCTGGGAATCGGGAAGACCTAAGTTCAAATCCAGCATCAGACACTTACTAGCCGGGTGACCCCGGGCAAAGCACTTAACTTCTGCATGCCTCAGTTTCCTCAAGTGTACAATGGGGATAATAAGAGCACCTACCTCTCAAGGGGATTTTGGGGACCACATGTGGTATTTGTAAAGTACTTAGCACAGGGCCTGGCACGCGGAAGTCATTTAATAAATACTTATTTGTCTTCCTTCTTTGTTACAGCACTTTGCACAGTGCCTGGCACACGGCAGATACTTATTATACACTTTTTCTTTCCTTTTTGGGTTTTTGTGCCACTGATCTCTCTTAGTTGTCTGACTGTTCCTTCTCAATCTCTTTTGTTGGGTCATTATATCAGGCCCCCTAATTGTGGCTGTACCCCAAAGCTCTGTCCTGGGACATATTCTGTTCTCCCTCAGCACCTTCTCACTCGGTATCCCCACCAGTTCCCTAGAGTTTAATTATTATCTCTAGACAGATGATTCCCAGATCTACATATTAAGCCCTAGTCTCTCCCCTGAGATGCAGCCACGCATTTCCCACTGTCTATTAGATATTCCAAACTGGTGTCCCATAAGCATCTCAAACTCAACACATTCAATTGTCTTTATCCCTCAAACGACCTCCCTTCTGGTCTTCCCCATTTCTGTTTCAGGCAGCACCATCTCTTTAGTCACTCAGATTCACAACATTGGCATTATTCTTCTCTCCAAATATCCAGTCAATTACCTCATATTGTCATTTCTAGCTCTACAAAATCCTGTTCCCCTCTTTCTCCTCACATAGCTACCACCCTAATTCAAGCCCTCACCTCCTCCCATTTGGACTCTTTATTGTAATAGCTTCTTAAACGGTCTCCGTGTCTCCAATCTTTTCTCTCTCCAATTCGTTCTCCACACATTAGCCAAGGTGAATTTCCTGAGGTGCTGGTCTGAGCATATTAAACCCTACTCAGTAAATTCCACTGGTTTCCTGAGACCTCTAGGATCAAGATTAAGGATTAACCAAAACCTTAAAACTGCCCTAAGACTAGTTTTTCAAATCACTCCACAATCTGCCCCCACCTGTCTTTTAAAATTTATTACGTATTATACCTCCCCATTCATTCTTGCTGTTGCTGACACAGAGCACTTTATCACCCATCTCTGAGTCTTTGCACTGCTATGTCCCATGCCTGCAAAGTACAAACTACATCATCTTCTTGTCTTCTCAGAATCCTTGCTTCTTTCAGAACTTGGCTCAAGTGACACCTTTTTTTCTTTCTTTCTTTCTTTTTATTTGGGGGGGTGTGTGAGGCAATCAGAGTTAAGTGACTTGCCTAGGGTCACACAGCTAGTATCATGTGTCTGATGTCAGATTTGAACTCAAGTCTTCCTGACTCCAGGACCGGTGCTCTATCCACTGCGCCACCTAGTTGCCCCGTCAAGTGACATCTTAAAGCCTTTCCTTCTTCATTTCAGCTCCTAACAATCTCCCTCTAAATTTTTTTACTTTGCATTTATCATCTATATACTCATTTATGTACATATTGTTGCCCCCCCAGAACGTAAGTTCCCTGAGGGCAGATGTTTCATTTTTGTCCATGTTTCCCCAGCAGTGCCAGGCACACAGTAGACATTTAATAAATGCTTGACGATTCTGCTCATTTTAAACCTAGGAAAGACCTCAGGGGCCAATCCCCATTATTATACATTGGGATCAGGTGGTTAAATCCCTGTAGACACAGTTAAATCACAAAGACACACAGCTAAGTGGCAGCCCTAGGGACTGCCCTCCGGGTTTGACCCAAACTCAGCACTTTTCTCACTGTATCCTGCTGCTCGATGTTTCTCACTGGGGTTCCGAGCAGAAATCCTCAGATCTCAGCCACCACGTTCCCAACAGTCTCTCAGCACGCTAAGATATCAGTTGCCAAGGTCCATTCCATGTCATTCAAGGTAGGGGAAGGGTGGTAGTGTTTTCTCTCCTCCCTACATTGCTTCCTGGTCACATTTTATTTCTTGCTTTCAGGGTCAGCTGGTACCCAAGGATTATCCTGGTTATGCCTTGGCAGTGATCAGCTTCCTTGTGGTCTCTTCCCTCATGTTCATCCCCCTGGTGGCTCTGGGAACCTTCATCATGAACAGAAGGAAAAGGGGAAACACATCTACTATGGTGTGAGCAGCAGGACTCCCACGGATGTCTTTTTGGAGTAGTTGAAAGAACTGTGTACTCAGATGCCCATTTTTGCATAGTTCTTATTTATAGCTTTACTGTCTTTGGATGCCTTTTTATGTTTGTTTTTCAAACATATCAGTAGTACTCAGGAGAAAGTCTCTCAGCTTTTAGGGCCTTTAAGGAGGAAATAGGACCATATGGCCAAAGGACAACCGTTTAAGAAAACCCACAAACCCCTCATGACTTCCTCTCATTTGCCTTTCCCAGCAAGGTTCCTTAGGACTAATTTGTTAGCAAAAGCTTGTAAAGGAGAACAGGCCCTGTGAAGAGAAGAGATTTGAAGTGACTTTCTTGTCATTTGTGGCAAGGTATAGTCACTCTCCTCTGGTGTCTGTTTATATGGGATCCGGTTGAATTCAAGTTTTCATTTTCTTTTCCTACAGCGGAAAAAGGCACAGCCCTAGAGGGAAAGTGTGTTAGGGAACCCTGGCTCTTTGATCAAGTTAGCATGTTTCAGAGTAGTCAAGAGAAGTACAGATGTCCCAGGGACAAAAGCTTTTAGAATACAAATGGACGGTTTCCATTCTGTAATATGGCATCCTTATTCCCCTTTAAGTATTTCTTTTGAAGATTTAAGATGAAGACTGAAACTATTTCAATGATATAAGGAACTGCCAGTATAGAAATTCCCCCTACCAATGCACATTGGCATCTCTGCAACTTATAAGTTTTAGAGATCTAGAGCAGTGACGAGTTAGGTGACTTGCCTACCATCACACGGCCAGTATGTGGTCAAAGGTGGGATTTAAACCTAGGTCTTCATGACTTTGACTCTGGCTCTCTCTGTGTTATACCCTGGATGACTTTTTGAGGATTTGCCCTTCTGAATTTACCAATATGGTGCCAACAGCAAGGTCAGATGGAACACAAAACAAGAAGGTACCCATCTGAGTGCCCATCAGGAGCATCTTAATACAGATTCTTTTAGTTAAATCCACAGCATTTTTGGAGAAGAGGTGAGAGAATTGTTTCTGCTCCCTTCCTAGAAAGAGTGCTTCCCTATCTCTAACAACTTGTCAGAGATGTAAGCCATCCTTAAGTACTTGGGAGGATGTGGCATAGAACTCAAGCTTGCCCCCATATCATGATGAGGCATCCGAGGAAGTTGTTAGTCATGTGGCATAGAACATTCTTTAATGCAAATAAACAAGACAGCCACGTGGCCCGTCTAACACGATGTAGTACAAACCAATTATTAAACCACGCATTTATTAAGCACCTACTAAAATTCTTATCATCATCATTTCTGCCCCATTTTTATTGTGATGAACTAGGAAAGATCATAGAATTAGGACCATAGAATTTAGAAAGGGTTTCTACTGGTAGATTTTGTTAAGGATGTTGAAACTTTGGGGGAGACCAAAGTCCACATGACAACTTTTTGAGAAACTTACTCAACATTCGTTCCAGAGCACCTACAATGTGCACAGGTAGTAAGGAGCATAAAAGTATGAACAAGCCGTGATGCCTGGCTTAAACTCAGATAGGAGAGATGAGATAGGCACAAATATATACAAGAAAAAGTACAGTGGTCTCAGAACACAAGAGAGGCACCATAAGAGCTCAGAGGAAAGAGAGTTCCATTTGAGGGTGCAGGAATCAGGAAAAATTTCATGGCGGATTTGAGCTGGACCTTGAAGGATGAAAGAAGGATGAGGGATGGAAGGGAAGGCATTCCAGGCATAGGGAACTGCAAGAGCGAATAAAAGTACAAGCAGTGGGAATTGCAAAGTGTGTAAGGAGCAGTGAGGGGGCCAGTTTGGTGGCAGCATACGCTATTTGAAGGGGAAGAGGGTGAGATAAACTCCAGAGGGCAGGCTGAAGCCAGTTTGTGGAGGGCATGTAAGGCCAGGATCAGAAATGAGGTCTTCGGTGTCTTTTTCTGGTGTCTATTTTTCTTCTCACGGGGGATTTTCCTTGGAGCAAGTAGAGGCATTAGAGATTCAAGTCTTGGTCTTTCTGTGATCGAGAGCTAACTGGCTTTCTGTTCTTTGAACGCTTACCTCATCAGCTCTCCTGGTGGTATAGAAAAAGCACATGTGCCTTCAAAAACGCAGGAACCAAAGCTTTCTTGGGCCAGACTTTCCCTCCTTTGGTCCTTCCATTGATCCTTCCTCATGCTGTCACTTCAAGCATCAAAACGTTTCCAATTTTGGGTGGAGTAGTGGACGGCTTTGAACATGACAGCACAGTCTGTTCCAGGATCACTGAAGTCTTTCCAGCTCATCCACACATCCTGCAATTTGCCTTGTCTTAGGGGATCCCACTCACCCCGAAATCAGTGTCTGTCCCTTCCATCAGCTGTTATCAAGGACTGGGCACAAACTCAGACTACAAATGAAAATGGTGTTTTGTTTATAAACCACGTCAAAATGTCAACATCTAAATGAGTACTGCACTCCAAAATTCCCCTCTTGGAATTGCCCGCAGAGAGTTTGCCAGCCACACAAGAAAAGAGAAAGGGAGACATGATGGCAGAAGAGCCAGGAAACGGTTTCTCGGCCGAGCCCAGCTGCTCATGAGCTGAGGGTTCCGTTCTGGCCCTTAGGTCTCTCAGCTAGAAGAAGAGAGGGTTCAGTAAGATTCTCTCTAGAGTGCTTTCCTACTCTGAAGTTCGAGGATAATTAGAATCAGTTTTAGTGCTTGTCAGTTTTTCTTTCTCTCTGTCTTCCCCCTATCTCCAACCTCTTCTCTCCCTTCACACAGTCTTCCAAGTTGAAAGAGATGTCAGAGACCAATCTGAATTCCAATCCATTGCTGAATAAGAATCCACACTATAACACACTTAGATGGTCAAAGCCCAGAAACTCCTGGAAAAGTCCCATTAGCACTAATTATTAGGAAGTTTTTCCTATCAATAAACCTACATTTCTTTGTAACTATCATAGACCCACTCCTCCTAGTTTGGCTTTCTGGGGCCAGGCAGTGTAAGTCTTCTTTGCAACAACCCTTCAAGAGCTTGCAGACAATTATCATGAACCCTCTGAGTTTCTTTTCTCCAAACTAAACATTCTCAGAGAACAAGTACTGGGTAGTGCTGGAGGTGCTGCCGGGAAGACTGGGGTTTGAATCTGGCCTCCGAAATGTACCAGCTGTGTGACCCTGGGCAAGTCTCAGCCTCTTTAGCCTCAGTTCCCTCTTCTGTAAAATAGGAGCAATAGTACTTACTTCAAAGGGTTGTTGTGAGAGTCAAATGCATCATCTAAAGTCCTGTTAAGTGTGGTGGTGTTGTTTTTTCAATCCCTCACACAGTCTCAGTACAGACCTTACCATCATGGTCTTCCTCTTCGGGATACCTACCACAAGTTCCTCTCTCTCTTCACTCTCTTCATCTACTTTGTCTACCCCTTCCTCCTCCGACATTAGGCTTGAGTCAATAGCTCCCTCAGCCAAACTGGAGAGCGCTGTGGTAGTGCCTGTAAGAGGCCAAGGCACTGTGTGGGGAGAGGAAGTGATGGGGCCACGCACTGGGGAAAGCTCTATGCCAGACAAACCCAGCAAAACCCAGACAGACGTGACTTAATCTTTATGCTACCTGCCTAGGTGCTTTGAATAGAATTGGCTGAGGACCATCCATGACGGCTGGAATTTGAAGTTCCGGAAGTTCAAGATTGCTCAGAATTTGGAATATTAGGGGTAGATCATGGAGCGGGAAAGACCTTAGAGGTCACCGAATCTAACCTAGATGCAGAGAGGTTGTCACTTGCCCATGGCAGGCAACAGAAGAGTTAGAATTTGAACTCAGGCCTTTTTGATGCCAAATCCTGGACTTTCCTCCTATTAATTCTAGATAAAAACGCCTTCATAAAAATGGCTTCAATTTAGCCATTTCATTTTAGCCATTGGTAACAGCTTTAAAAGAAGGGGATTACAGCACCACTAAACAAAGCATTCTCAGGCCTTCCTCAAAAGAAACATGTATTTAGAAGACACCTGATATCCCCTTCCATCCCACGCAAAGGTGGCCACGGCGAAGGGAACTGCAGTCATTTCTGTCACGACAAGACAAAGGTGTTTGCCTGATAACATAGGATGGGAAAGAAGATGTTAGCACTGGTTGGTCATAGACTCATGAGTTGCCTTTTACTAGTTGTGAGACCTTAGGCAAGTCACTTAACTTTTCAAAGTCTGTTTTCTCCTCCATAAAATGGGGATAATTAATATGATTTACATTGCTTACCTCACAGGGCTGGCGTGAGGAACACATGAGATAATGTATGTGGAAGTGCTTTGTAAATTGTTTAAGCTATTCTGTGAGCCCTTATTTTTAATGGTGCTGAATATTATCGCCCCAAGCACATTCTAACCTAAGTCTGTAGCAGGCAGTACTCACTTCTCAGACATAGGGGACAACCTGCCTTTCAACTTAGTTCTAAGAAACCTTACAGAGAGACCTTTCCTAAATCTGTGTTTATTAACAACTGACATTGTAGATAAATCCTATACGAATGTTTTGAAATTCCTGACATCCGCTGATTGCACTCTTGGGAGACAGCACTAGCCCTGACTTCAACATTTGTCTGTCCCTGTAATTACACTGGACAAAACCACTTTCTGAAATGACTGCCTAGGGGTCAGAGTATTAAGGGCATGAGTAAAACTTGGGGTGGAAAGGAGGGAAGGTACAGAAATTCTAGTTTAACCTTGCTTGATTTAAGATAGGAGACAGTATATTCTGAATTTATACAATTTTCTGAGGACCAGAAGGCTAATCCTTAGAACCTACATAAGTTACCATTTTTTTCCCTCAATGGATAGGAGTCACTTGAAACAACGGTTTTAAGTGTGCCTTCAACAAATTCACCTCTGAGCTAGTTTAAAGAAACATAACAGCAAGCATGTGTTAAATTATAAGCCATTTTTACACGATGCTTCATGAGAGAAATCAGATTTGTTATTTTGCCTACTTTAGATGGAAACTTAATTCAACAAACATAGTAATCCCCTATTAGGCTGTGTAAAGCACTATGGGGCAGATGGGACACTTTGATCTTGGATCCACAACTAACCCATTTCCCTTGTCTTGGGACAACAGGAGTATATGGGGGTAGAAGCAGCACTACATATAACCATTTCCTTTCCAGCTTTTTATTCTGCCATGTAATAGGATTGCTGAAATTTAAATGTCTTTGTAGCTTGGTTACATGCAGGATGAAAGTGAAAACCGCCAGGAGGGAGCGAAAAAGTAGCCAAATTCAGACATTCCTAGGTGAAACTTTGGGTCAGGGCAAGAGCCAAAGGATGTATTTTTTTTTAAATTTATTTTGCGAGGCAATTGGGATTAAGTGACTTGCCCAGGGTCACATAGCTAGTAACGTCAAGTGTCTGAGACTGGATTTGAACTCAGGTCTTCCTGACTCCTGGGTCAGTGCTCTATCCACTGCACCACCTAGCTGTCCCAGACATAATTTTTGAGAAGCTTTCATCGCCTCTCACCTGCACTAACCTAGCCAGGTTTTGTGCCTTGGCCTGCCGCCACTCTGTCCATCCTCCATACAGCGGGCCGAAGTGACTTTGTTAAAGTGAAGATCCGATTGTTTCACTCTCCTGTTCAATAAACTCCAATGGTTTCCAACTGTCGTCAGGATCACATGTGAAGACCTTGGTTTGGCTTTTAAAACCCTTCACAACCTGACCACAACCTATCTTTCCAACCTTCTTATGTACATCACTCCCCTTTAATGTGCTCTGCTGCCAGGCCAGACTGGCCTTCCTGACTGATGCTCCTTACATGAGACTTTATCTCCCATCTCTATACCTTTGCATCCCATACCTGGGATGTACTCCTTCAGCTTCACCTCTCGGAATACCTTTCCTTCAGAACTAATCTCCAACACCTGGGAAGCTAAGTGGCTCAGTGGGTTACAGCTTTGGGCTGGGAGTCAGGAAGCCTCATCTTCCTCAGTTCAAATCTGGCCTCAGACACTTCCTACTGTGTAGCTCTGGGCAAGTCACTTAACCCTGCTTGCCTCAGTTTCCTCATCTGTAAAGCGAGCCAGAGAAGGAAATGGCGAGCCACTCCAGTATCTCTGCCAAGAAAACCCCAAAAGGAGGGACAAGCCATAGAACAACACTCTCCAACACCGCTTCCTACAGGAAACCTTTTGTGATGCCAGACTTGCAGATCTCTGCCCACAAATTACCTCACTTCTACTAACCTACACATATCCTGTCCCCCCCCCCCCCCGCCCCATAGAAATTCCTAGGGAGCAGAGACTGGTTCCTTTTGTCTTTATCACTAGGGCCTAAGACGATGCATGGTTCCTAACAGTGGGCTCTTAACGAATGCTGGTTAACTGATCTTTTGTAAAAACTAAATTTAACTCTTCTCTTCACTTCTCACATTTTCCTTCTGTATCTTTTCCTTTCTCTCCCCCCCCCCACCTCAGAGCCAGACCATACAACAAAGAACCTTCTTGACTACTCTTTTGGATAAACTCAATAATACGGATCATGAAGTTCTTACTTCAAAAGCATCATCTCTAGTTTCATGGCTGTGGGCACTCTCTCAAGCAAGACAGGTTGTGACCCCTCCTCCATGGCTTAGAGGTGCTCTTCCTGAGATGCTAGGACCCAAAGAATTCCACACCTGGCAGTCGACCTTCTCGGTGAAGCTCTCCAAACTGGGTTAGGAAGCTACTAAGGTGACCAGAAAAGAGTCTTTCTAGGTTGGTGGGCCTATCAGACCTCACACACCACTGGCATAACCTGGATCACCTCCTTATGGTGCTGAGATCCAAAATATTTCAGTGGAGGAATAAGGACCTGAAATAAAACTTAATGATGGCTCTGAATGCCATTTTACCCATTTCTTGTAACCTCCTGTGGCTGGAACACTCAATGAGAAAGTGAGACTGAAAATGTGTACCTGAGCTCACGACCAAGATCATCCAGTTTGCAAGAGGATGTGCCGAGAGCTAATAAAGCATCCATTTTTGTTTTGTTTTTAGGCAATTGGGGTTAAGTGACTTGCCCAGGATCACACAGCTAGTAAGTGTGGTCTCAGGCTGGATTTGAACTCAGGTCCTCCTGACTTCAGGGCCGGTGCTCTATACACTGTACCACCTAGCTGCCCCCTGCTAATAAAGCATCTGGATCAGTTAACCTGGGATATTATCTAAGCCATTCTCTTCTCTTGCCCCCACTCAACCAGTCCATGAAGGTGAATCATCCAAGGTGAAGCTCCTCCAACAAGCCTAGTTCTAACGGGGTGCCGAAGGTACTCACAGACTCTCAGAGCAAGAAGGAACCCTGAAAATCACTCATTTTATGGACAGAGGGGAAACTGAGGCCCAATAATATTCCGTTATATTCATGTACCACAATTTGGTCATTTCTCAGTCCATAGACAGTTTCTAATGCTTAGCTTGTCACACAGTAGGTACTTAATGCTTGTTGCCTTGACTTTCCAGTTCTTTGTTGCAACAAAAGAACCATCGTGAATATTTTGGCATGTGTGAGACCTTTCTTTGTCTTTGACATCCTTGACATCATGGCACTGGCTCCTTGAGGTCACTAGTTTTCTATATATTCAATAATCACTCCTTAAATAAAAGGTTCTGGAATTTGTGCAAGAATCAGTCAAGCTCACTAGCCTATAGTTTGTAGCTATTTTTCTAAAAAAAAAAAAAAAGGAAACATTTGTCTTTTCTGCTCCCTCTCTCCATGGTTTTTCAGTTGGCAGTGATTCCACATTCTCTCTGGCCAGTTCTCTCGATAGGTAGGTAGCTCACGTGGGTTGTGAATGCTGATTCTAACCCAAAGGCAGGTGGGGGCTCTTACAATTTCTCTCCTTGTCCTGGGTATCAATTTCCCATTTGCCATCTTTGCTCTGTCCTTTCTGACCCCAAAATCATCCTCTTTAGTAGGGGAAGAAGTCTAACAGCTCTCCCTCCACCCTACCATGAGTTATATAACCCTGTCCATTGGAAGAGAAAGTACCTATGTCCCTTCTTTGATGCTCTTTTCCCCAGCACAGCTAAGATAAAAACTTTTTTTTTTAATCATCCTTTATGCTTAGGACTCCAGAAGCTAATCTTTGAAGAAGAGAATGCTTTTGTTTTCATCCTCCATCTTTACTATAAAATAACATTCACGGAGCTAATGAAGTG